CCTCTCTCCTCCTCCCTCTTCCCCCTCCCTCTGTCCGCCTCCCTCTCTCCCCCCTCCCTCTTTCTGCTTGGGAACAAATTGTAGCTAGCATACAAGGTTTGCACATATGCGTATAATCGTACAATTATCGCATCACAAAGCTTCATTCGGCGACAAATTCCATTTCGCAAGCCTTTTTTGGTCTTCAGAACCCCCGATTTCATGGATAGGTTTCGTTGAAAGAGAGGGGGTACATGTTATTCTGTGGGCCGTATGGGCCTAGACTTATTATGGTTTCAATATCACAAAGTAGCCAGACGCTAGTTACTTTGCTCAGATGGGATGACACAGTCCATCGCAGTTATTCCTCCTGGCTCGGCATTGCTTCAGGTTTTTCTTAAAATTTTCCGTTATCCGTCTATACTCCTTGGTGTAGAGAGGCTCTTTGAGGTCATGGCTCGAACCTATACCTCTCGACTCAGCACGGACACTAACGTCGGAAGTCCTGCCCAGTCCTAATCTAATAGGTTACCTCATTTTTCAGGTGACGTGGGAGGTCAAATTGGTCTATTCCTCGGCGCCAGTCTCCTGACATTGGTCGAATATTTGGACCTTCTGGCAATGGTACTTTTCACCAAATACAAGAACCGCAATGAGTGACTTAAAAACATTCACGAACTTTGTTAGTTTTGGAGCAAATAAAAACTAGCATAATATTCAGTATAATTCAAGTTATGTGAAGTTACTCTCGTGACTTTACATAGATTCGATTATGTTATTATCTTAAAAAAGATATTGGCTATGATAAATTCCATAGAGATTACACCTGGCAAGTTCTCGTTGTATATTAAGTTCCGGACAAAAAGATGCAATGTCAAGTGCTAAAGTTTAATAATTTTATGATGTCTTCGAAGCAAAAGCTGTATAATGTGTAAAATCAAGTTCCTGTAAAATTAAGACAGTTACATTATAGTGCTTTTTTCTTTTGGTGAAATAATGCTGGACATAAAACCCCATAGTCTGGTTCAGACTAATGCCGAAACTTGGAGTACCAAAGATGTTGCAGCATTTCGTTTGTGAAATCTATTACTGATCAAAATCTTATAGAACAAAGCAAAAGTTCCTAACTATCTAACTGAAATTGATGGAATAATTTTTCCATCTTCTTAAGGAAAGTTCTTATGACAACCCTAAATTTGGGTGAGAGTTAAAGAAGTGTAATGTCAAGTTCCAGTTCAAAGCAAAATTTCTTAACTACCTAACTGAAATTGATGGAGAAATCTTTTGCACTTTTTCAGAGAAAGTTCTTATGGCAAGCCTAAATTTGGGCGAGAGAGAAAGAAAATGTTTACAATGCAATCTTAACAGATCTGATTTGATCTCATCTGAACTCGTAGGTTATTGTATTTTAAGTCCCAAAAGGTCTGATAACCGAAAACACTGAATAACACATTTAGCAAATTCTTTGTCGACTCTTGTTGATACTTAACACAGTAGAATGATGTTTTGAACCAGTTAATCCGCAAGAATAATAGTATAGCTATCGTATTTGATAACATTACAACTAGTAAACCAAATTGTCAGCGGATTGGTCAGCGGATGTTGGTCAAGAGGGTTGTAATTTTTGAGCTCCGCTAAGTGTGAGAGCCTATACAGTGTCTGTTTAGGTAGCCCGCCTAGAATAGCTTTGCTAACTGCGGGCTACAAAAGCCTTTATTTCTTTCATTTTAAAAAATAAAGTCAATGTTGTTGTTGTTGTTGTTGTTGTTATTTTGACAGGAAAAGCTCTCGAAGGTGATTTCGCACAGAAACAAAAATTTTTCTGACATTTTTGTTTAGTCCGAAGCTTAGTGGAACGTTTATTGCTTAGTTGGAGACGAATGATGTAAATTAGGAAAAAGTACCTGAGTAAATTTAATTGGACCGTTTGTGGTTTACAATTTGCATTCCGTTTCCACTTTAAAACTCAAAAGAGAAGTGGCTGATTTTGAAAAGGTTTAAGTAAAACATGACCTCAATCTTTCCCTTCTTGAAATTGTTACATATTTTTGAATTTTTTCGTGGAATATTCTCAATTTGTTCAGAAGCTCTTTTTTTCCTTGAATCTCGCAGCACGTACAAAGATCTGTCTAAAATTTTACTTCCCGTTTTGATAACTCTGCGTAGGAATTAAAAATTAAATTTATATACGTTCCCTGCTATACCCGTGAATTAGGATGGTAAATTAGATGTTGTTCTGAAACTTTCGATCAAATTGGATAAAAAGAAACTCACACGGCTCTCTTTTGATTTTAGCTTGTAAATCATGATAGCTTTTGTTTATCTTCACTGTTTTTGTTTCTTTCTAATTTCACTAAAGTGTCCTCATCCACGGAGCCAAACAAACTACTTGTAAATCCAATTTTTCCCTCGTTCTTTAAAACTTTTTCTCGGCCTGTAAATTAATCATGATCGTGCTATTTGAATATTTTTCTGATTTCATGGTGATTTTAGTTGAAAATTGGACAAAGCATATAAATAATGAATCAAATTCTTGCGCGTCAAATTATTGAAAAGCGACAATTTAAAGACTTCTAAATGTGCCTCCTACAGACTGCCACAGTGGGAATGACAGCGCACCGACGAACGGAAGAGTTTTACTTGAGTTTATCTCTTATGATCACGGTTTTATGTTATTAACTAGCCTCCATAGGTGGATGGCAATAATTCACTTTTAGACCACAATTTAAATATGTCAAGAGAAATAAATCACGTATTTTGAAAATACGGATATCAGTGTCAACAATGATAAATGGTTGTAGGTGATTTTTCTTAATGTACTAGATATGAGTATATATCTTAGAAACTCTTTTCCTTGCGCTGTGGAGAGAGAAGAAATAAAACATTGCTAAATTGCGTTAGATTGGAGGGAAATAAGTCACAGGGTGACATGTGCGGTAATTCTTGGTTTTCTACCACCTGTATGTCTTCGTTATTCCTTGAAATAAACAACGCCTCTAATCTTAATTTATGACTCCCTTTTACATGCAAATTCAGTTTTAATGGGCAGAATAACAGGTATGGTGCACTGAATACAATATCTGATTGGTTTTGTGCACCTCATCCAAGCAGACCCGAGATAGATTCAATTAAAGGCCAACATGTATTTATATACGAATATATGTCGAGGTTTTGGTTTAAATGACCTTTCCTGGCCTTTGTGTATGACAACGTTCTAGCAAAGCTCCTCAATTTTGGATCTCTGCTTTGCATGGAGATTTCCGTAAGTTGGTATTTTGGTTGAGGTCAGCTGTTTTGCTGGGGCAAAGGCAAAACGAAATGTCGAACGTGTTCAACGAGAACGACTCCTCTGCGGAAGAGACGGGGGACGTTAAGATTCTCATCAAAGGTGGCGACAAGCTCAGCCCGGGAACTAACAACGTGTATGCGTTTTGCAATCACTGCAAGAAGGACATTTCTGTGGTGTACATCAAATCGGAGACGAGTGGCAAAGAGTTGGCCGTGACGGAAGCGTTGAAAACCACTTGGCCTTCTGTGTTTGAAGGGAGATTTCCTGAGAGCGACTACGAGAAATGCAAGAAGAACAACGATTATGAAAGCTGCAAGAAGCTGCTGGATGAAAAGAAAAAGTGCGAAAAGATTAATGAATTGTGGGTGTCCTTTCTAGACTCTTGCACATTGCATGGTTTTCACTTTTGCTTCTCAGGAAACCCACCTGTGCGCCGTATAATATGGACTTTACTGCTACTCGGGGCATTTGCGTTATTCTTCGAGAAGAGCACCGACAGCATTATCAATTACTTTCAATTCCCTTTTACCACTACTACGCTTATTGTCTACGAGAACAGCTTGGTGTTTCCCGCAGTTACCATTTGCAATTACAACGATGCCCGCTTCTCCAAAATGAATGGAACTCGTTTTCATGAGTTCTATTTCAGAAAAAAAATAAAAGGAGAAAACGTCAGTCACCTAAAGGAAGAAATCTCAGGAGAAGAAATGACAAAAACACTTTCAAATGCTGCGCATGAACTTGACGAAATGATTCTGGAATGTAATTGGAAAAAAGACTCAAATTGTGGCCATGGAAACTTTACTGAGTTTAAGAATGCTGATGGAGATGTTTGTTTCACGTTCAACTCCGGTAAAAATAGCTCGGCCCTCTTGACGAGTAGCACGGGTGAAGACAAAGGCTTGCACCTTCTTATCGATGTTCAGCATTATGATTACTATTTTGCTGTTGAAAGCGCAGGCTTCAAGGTAATTTTGCACGACCAGGATGAAACTCCAGTTAAAATGCAGGGTTTAGCTGTATCTCCTGGGTTTACGACGTACATGGAGTTAAAGAAGAGAAAGGTGTGTTCAGGTTTAATTCACTTGTAGTTGTGTAGTTAAGTATCGATACAAAATCTCTTCCTAAACTCACTATTCGGCTATTTTTAATTTATTTTATCAAGATCTCGTTAACGAAAACGTGGTATTTCAGTACCGTTTAAAAATCTCTTTTTCAAGATTTGTCACCTTAAGTAATACTTTTGTCAACAAGTCAAAGTTAGTTGAAAAAATTTTCAAATGGGACGTTGGAAAGATGAAATCTCTGCCAAGAACAACATGATTCAATATTACTTAATATTTTAATTAAACAGGAAAGGTAATTGTTATTTCATTAACACAGTTAACGTCCAATTCTTTATAGTAGGAGTTGAATAACCTAACTTTTTATTATAAAGTTGTTCCTAAAAGATTTAATGGTAACATTTCCTCCTTTTCTTGATTGTATGCGAGAAAGTCTTTGTTTGAAATAATTATGTTTTGTCTTCGGCTTCGACTTTCGACAATGGAAAGTAAACATAATAATCACGTTTAGAGCAAGGCGGCCATAGTTAGTGAAACGTTTAGCCAAAAAGCCTTTTTTTTTCAAGAAAAATGTATTGCGTGCTTGAGTGTTTAGTAGAAATTATCACCCAGATCTCTTATTTTGATTCTTAATTGAAATGTAAAAATCTTCCAGTTGGAGCGGTTAGCCACAAACCGCGTCAATCAATTGGTGGGGTAATGAAGATAATTTACCCATAGATTTTCCAATGGATTATTGTTTAAAAACGGTGCTTCTCGGTCGCGAAGAGGGTCAGAATATAATTAAAAGATTTGAATCAGACTGCCACAGGGCATTTTGCTCACTGTTGGTGTATTAAAAATATTTTCCAGATCACGAACCTGCCTTCACCTTACCGAACGAATTGCGGGATGCCAAAGCTACGCTTTTTTGACAAATACAGCAAATCCAAATGTTTCTTGGACAAACTGACTCGATATGTTGTCGAAATCTGCAAGTGCCGTGATTGGTTCATGCCTGGTAAGTACATTTTTATTTGCGAATTCTACATTGATATCTGTTATTGCGGGGAAGAGACGAGCTCACATGAACTCAACTCAACCTTTTAATGTCTCTCTCCTCGTGGTTCCTCTCTACATACCATAATACTATGGACTAGTGTCCAATCTCCTAACAATATCATTTCAAGTATTAGCAATTAATTTCGCGTTACCCCACAAGTGCAATGTTCAATTGAGTTTTGAAAGAGATAAGAGGTTGCGATTGTTTTTGCTGTACTCCGTTCAGTGATGATTGGCCTGAAAACCTTGTGCATCCTTCCTACCAATCAGATGCGAACTGACTAAAACCGTTCGCGACGTAGTCATCCGTGATTTTCCCGCCGCTCAGGAAGTTAGCTTGTTCTCTGGTTTAGCGTGGTCTCTACGCTTATCATCAACGATATTCGCGAGATCACACATATAATAATGTGCAAGATCACAAAATTTGTAGCAAGGTTTCTACTATCCTTAGCCACCCTCTTAGAGTCTACTTCCCTGAAACCAAGATTACGAAATATAATTTAAGAAATAAATCCCCTGTAATACCCGCCATTCGCACGAACCGTTTTAAGAATACATTTTTTAATAGAATTGTTTTTAAGTACAATGTAGCTTTGTAAAAGTGTACTTCTTGTATTTGATTTTCGTATTTGTTTCTACGTATATACTTATCTTATTTAGAGATACACCTAAGCTTATTTACATCCTTTTTTAATGTAACGTAAGATATGTAATTTTATCTTTTGAACATTTAAGACACTATTACGACACTATTATTCGTCATCATAGAGGTCAACATGTCATGGACTCACTCGGCTGCGCCTCGTGAATCCGCAACAAATTTTGACCTCTTTTTAAGCATTTTTGGTTTCATTTTCCTTATTATTCAGGAGCCGATGAAGGAATTCCCGTCTGCGATTTCGAGACGAGTGAAGAGTGCATGTGGCCTGCTTGGGGTAAGAAATGTTTGTGAAGTAGAGCTATTGATGTCAGATCAAAGACGATTCGTGACTCAAGGAACATGAAAAAAACTGATTTAGACAAGAACGTTCGTTTTAAGTTTAAAATGTATTCTGTAGGAAAACAATATGTTTTCAATCTTAGACTGAGCCAGTTTTACAAGTAACAAAGGCCTAAATCCTTGTTAGAAGAGAAAAATTATTACGAAGGACCTAAAAACCGAAGATGAAAGTTTATATTCTAAGCTCCTCGACAGTGCAGAACCTTTTGAGCTGGAGGGAAGTCTGTAAGAGATCTAGCAATGACATAGAGTGATTAAGCACCACTTTTACGTGAAATGTGAACAGTAAGAGTTACCACAGGACCACGATTTTTCCGCTATTTTTCCACGTTTGCCGGTCGCGTTTTGCCTTTCCTTTGTGAAAGTCAGCTGTTTCGCGTTTGCCGTGTACGTGGAATTTTCTTCTCCTTTACTCTCACAGAGTAGAAGTTTGACTGCCAGAAAAAAGTGTACTAAGACTATTTCCTGTAAGTCATACAAGAGCAGATGAGGTTTCATTGTAAAATTGCTTTAATTACAGCACTTTTCTTCAGTAGACAGCTGCAAGAGCTCACGCTCATAAGACGGGTCCCATTCCATTCCGTGAGCTCTCGCGAAGCTAAAGCAGTAAGGTTCATGCTAATTTACGTGAGACGTGAAAGAGTTAGCTGACGTTTGCCTTTCTACGCAAACGCGGTGCTAAGTCTCTCTGATGAGTGTCAGAGCCAGGCAGACCCCTCCTCTGCTTGTACCAGATCTTTCCGCGGGTCTAGATAGATAGAGAGATAGATAGATAGATAGATAGATAGATAGATAGATAGATAGATAGATACTTTATTGGTAAATACTTCACAGCATGAACTGAATTGCGTATTTACCGATATAAAATAAAAATTACTATATACATGTATACATCTTATTATTGAAAAAATACATAGTTCATGATAAGGGGGAACTTGTACATCATTTGTGGCTGTTGACTATTCTGGCCGAAGCAATAAAGAAACTGTTTTTAAGTATATTTGTCTTGCAAAGTGGCAGAGCAAAGGTACGCTCGTGCCTTAACCTAGGAGAGCTTACACAATAGAAACTCACGTCCTACAGCGCTAGTAACGAGGGCCGTGTCACAGACTATCAAACATTGCGCAGGTCAGTTTCAAAACCTTAACAAACATCAAAACAAAGGAATCAGTCAGGTTTTACAGCTGTTGCAACTTATCGTGATACATGATATAAATGGAGGTATTACCTTTTTAGATTCTTAAGAAATAGGTTCCTTTGTACAATTTCTTTCTGTATATAAATTTCCAGTGCATTTCGAAGACAAGAAGTTGGACAAGTGTCCCGTGGCATGTGAGAGCGTGGAGTTTTCAGCTCAGTTGTCGTACGCCCGCTATCCGGCCAATGCCTACGCCGATCTGCTGCTATCCAAACGTAAAAATTTGACAGGAACGCCTACAGAAAACAGACAATATCTCAGGTAGTGTGACGTCAGATATCTAACCACGAGTACATTTGTACATATCTTCCTGTTTGCAGAAGTTTGAACATCAGCAGAAAGAGCACGAAACGCCATTTCAGAGACAGAAACTTGTTGGTGTGAGTTGTTTTTGGACCTGGAAGTACTTGAGAGTATCTGATGACGAGAGCGAGGTAGCATACACCTACGCAACCATAACGTGTCTTGAAAAATAGGCAGTCTGCCACTACATGTGGCTTCTGATACAGTAGAAGGTTGAATAAAGAAGGGAGTTATGCAGAAGATTTGTAATCACAAACAAAACAGAAAACCTGCTCCGTCCCACGTACTTATGAGTACCCTGTTCAACAAGAGAAAGATGATTCAAGAAAACATTGAGTAACTGACATTCAAACAATGATTAAATGGTAACAAATAATCATATTGACATTGATAATAATGATAACAGTAGCAATATAATAATAAGCAAGCTCAGAAGCCTCACGCTTCCCCTATCCTCTGGGCTCCTAGGATGATTCAGATGTTTCTTTTGATTTCTCATATTGACTATAAATAGTTTTTTCATGTCATTTGTAAAACAATACAGGTATGTTTTGGAATAAACATTTTTAGATCTTAGATGAATGAGTCAAATTTAATAAATTATGTACCACTGATAACTATTTTTCTTGAGTATTTGTGTTTTCTGCTATGAACCTAGGTACGCATAAAATGACTTCTTGTGTTTTGAATTTTTACTTGAATTTCAGAGATAACCTTTTGGAGTTGAGGATTTACTACGAGTCTTTAACTTACTCTGACGTGAGACAGGTTCCCAGTTATGATCTGTACAGTTTGTTAGGTAAGAAACACTTTTTCTTTTTCTTATTGTTATAGTTCTTTATTTTTTTATTATTATTCACGGCGGCATACATTTCTTACAATTCATAAACTTTCTTACAACACATTACTTACAAAACATCAGTTCCGATGCGATAGTTACAATGGGCTTCTTATATCGGGTTTCGCTGACTGGTTACTTGAACCTAGGTATACTCCTGAGTGATGAGAGTTCTTTTAAGAGTAAAGTGTAATGCTCAAGAACAGAATACCTGTCATGGTTAGAGCTCAGAGCCCTCGACCCAAAGTCCACCACGTTAACAATTGGGTCAACGCGCAGTGTTTCCTCTGACACTGAGAACACTAAGGGCGGAAGTCGTACCCAGTCTTAAAGTATGTGCTTACGTTATTTTTCAGGTGACGTGGGAGGTCAGATTGGTCTCTTTTTGGGCGCCAGTCTCCTGACATTGGTCGAATATTTGGATTTTCTGGCAATGGTGCTTTTCACCAAATACAAGTACCACAAGGAGTGATTTGAAAACATTCACGCACTTTGTTAGTTTTGGAGTAAATAAAAACTAACATAATATTCAGTATAATTAAATTTATGTGATGATTATGATGATTATGAAGTGATTTGAAAACATTCACGCACTTTGTTAGTTTTGGAGTAAATAAAAATTAATATAATATTCAGTATAATTCAATTTATGTGATGACTATGATGATTCAATATAAAATCCATTTTGTCATTATCTTTAAAAGGAACTGGCTATGATAAATGATATTTATTTCAATAGAGATTTCAACTAAGAATCTCTCGGCGAAGACCCAGACAAGAAATTGTAATGTTTATGGTCTAGTAGTTATAATATTTCCAAAGCAGAAAATGCGAAAGCGGAATTCAATACATTGGTGATATTTCTGAGGCCAACGCTGGACAATGTTTAAAATCAAGTTCCTTAGAAATTTGACATTTGCATTGCCTTGCTTCTTAGTTAAGGGATATTTAACAGCATTATCTGGGCCACGATACTATGGAAACTTGGAAGACCAAAAGTTCTGTAGCATTTTGTTTATGAGCGCCACTAGTGCAATTGGAAAACAATTCAAAATTTGGTAGAAAAATCCAAAATGGTTTAATTTAATTTTCCCTAATTACCTTACTGCAGTTGTTGCGAAGCCTTTTTATTGTATTACGAAGATTATTAAAGCAACCCTAAGTTTGGGTGAAAGTTGAAGAAAATTACAATTAAAAAATCTAACTGATCTGTTTATCCACAGGTCATCGTATTCCAAAACCCAAAAGGTCAAATTGCTTATTACGACGCATTACCATATTTACGAGTTTCTCTCTTGTCTATTCTGATTAGGATAGAAACATGTTTACATTTAACTAACCCGCAAGAATAACTGATTCTATAGCTATCGTATTTGATAACAGTACAATTAGTAAACCTTTTTATGACAAAAAATCTCTTAAAGGTGGCGATCGTACACGAAAAAAAAAATTAGTTCTGAATTTATCTATTTCAGTCTGAAGCTTTCTGGGACGTTTGTTGGTTAGTTGGATAAGAATCATAAATTTACTAAAACAAGGCAGTGTACATGTCGAAGTTGTTGTTGCTAACTGTTCATAAATCTGAATTATAACCGTGGGATACGACCTCTTTAGACTATTATTTACAAATTCGTGTACAACTTTGATTTAACGAACAAACGGTCCTCGAGGAATCACATCCACCAACGCAAAGAAAAACGCTTGTTTCTTCAAGTTACAGAAAACTACCTGTGTTACCCATTTGCCAAAAGAGAACATAACTTTTTTCCGAGATTCGACGAATATCTGGGGATAGCCAATCTTTTCTCGCGAATGGTAAACACGTGTTCATCACAAGGGATGTCCTTTTATTCTCCTCCAAAACATATAGCAACACGTGAGGTACATATGACATTGCTCCCTGAGGACAAGATACCTTGAGTCTAAAAAATGATGTGAGATGGATTTCTTCTTCTATGATTGGTCTAGAAAACTAGCAACACTCTCTGAACCAATCAGACGCAAAGGATTTTCATGGGTTGTATAATAATTTGCTTATTATTGTATTTGCCGTATTATAATAAAAGCGACGCATGTAGAGTAAGGAAAGGAATTTTTTTATTAACACTGCAGGGATTTAAAGGATGGCTGAGTATACCGTGCAAACAGTCGTCCAAGATCATACCCATAATAAGTTTCTTATGCGCAGTGACCTAATCCTACATCGTAATAAATGCTTGACTTAAACTCCAAACTCCAAACTTTGATGAAGATGGACATGTTGTGGTCAATAGTGACCTCTTTCCATTGCAATTTCGCCCCCTAACGTGAAACAAATTCGCCCCCATAGTTACCGGGTGATTGGGGGCGAACTTGCTCTGGGGTGAATTTGTTAGTTGCCATATTTTGTCCTTGTGAGATGGTGGCGAATGTAGGTATCACCTCAACAGCTAGATCGACTGTTTTCTTCTTCTTTGATCTTTCTCTTTGAGTTGAGGTCAGTATTTTATTCTTCAAGCGAAACGTAAAGATTGTTAGTCTCTATGGTTGTCAAGAGAACTTATTATCAGCTGGTGACTTTTGTCGCTGAATAATAGAAACTCAGAAATGGTTTCTAAAAAAATCAGAAGTGCTGTTATTTAAAGCTAAATGTAATAATAAATGATAAAAGCAATTTTATTGGCGTTAGGTTTTGTATCATTGTGTTCTACTGACCAGACTCTTGTAAAGTCCATACCCCTTTCCTCTCCCCCCCGCACGCAGATAATGGACATTTTGGTGATATTTTCCCTTCCCTCCCCTCCCTTCCCCACGTAACCGCCGTTTTGATGATGTTCACACGTTCGCGGGTTTGATAATCAGAGCAAGATTATTACGCGACTTCTCAGTCATTGTCAGAACAAAACTGGGAGGAAAGCCTTTTTGAACGCAAAATTCTCATATCTGATTTTTAAAGATTTGTCGACAACACAATCAAGGCGAAAGACACTCGATTGTTTCGACAGCTTTTGTTTCTTATCGCTTTATCTGATTATTTTTTCACGGTGTTATAGCGTCGCTATAGTATTTATTAGTTTAATAATTGCTCAGTTCAATGGCTTTCGGCGCAAAAAAGAAAGAAGTTATAATTAGCGCAGTTATTCCGTGTCTTCACAAAACGCCGACTTTCTGAAGTTAATTTCGTAGGAGACAATTATCGAACATCAATTATCACTTTTTGACATGTTTTCTTGTTGCAAACAAAAGGAGCGCGAGTTTATGCATCATTTAATCTTGAAAAGAAGCCAAGTCGTTGTTTTTCAGTTCGCTTTTGTTATTATTGAATTTTCTATCGTTATTCCGTCCGGCGAGAAAGAAAGATTGCGAAAGACATTTTGGGATCGATTGCTTTACCTTAGTGACGAATTACCATGACCGCAATCGAAAGTTCGAACATGGCGGACGCGCCTGAAGGTGAACCGACCAAAACAAAATCTAAGAGGGCTAGCCTTGGGCTTCCTTCGATCCGAAGCTTCTTCGTTAAGAAACCACCACAAGCTCCCCTAAACCAGGAGTCAGGATATGACGGTCTTAGACTGAGAAGTGGAAGTACAATTCGGGACGAAGAGTTTTCTGAGGAGGCTGAGCAGAAAAAGGATGGCCAAGCGGAAACTGTCATTTTGGAGAACACCTATCGTGTAGGACCCGACCCGCTGAAGAAATTCTCAACCGGTAAAAGTTATTTTCATTGTTTAGTCTTATTTATATTAATTCCAGGCGTGTTGATGCAGTCTTATTTTGGCTGTAAAGTGAGATTATTTATGTAAACTTGCATTGAGTGATGTTAGGGAGGTGATATTGGTCTTGCGTTCAACTTCCTCATAAACAATTAATTACACATCTTCCAGTTCCTCACGAATGTAATATGGAACAACCACGTTGAATGACAAGAGATAGAAATCACGTGACCTAAAAATATTTAGTATGGAAGACTTTTGTGGATTTTAAAGATACTGTCTCTCAGGATGGTTTCTGCAAGCAAAAATATTCTGCAAAGAACGAAAATGTGAAATAAACTTTGAAGACATAAGAAGAAATAAAGAAATGGTAAAAGTAGACAAAACGATGGTAAAAATATGAGACAAGAAAATTGTAATAACTGTTATCAAAGGCCGACTCAACATTCAGTATCTTCGCTCGACATTCCTTAAAAAAAATAAAACCATGATAATGCACAAATATATCGTAATATGACTGAATATAATGATTTCATATAGATGACAAAATAATCATGAAAATGAACTTAATTCAGAAAGAGCTGATTAATTTTATCATCAGGAAATCGAACTTTAAGTGAGATTTTTATCACTTTATAAGGATCTCTTGTTGTCTTGTTGTAAGTAGTTCTTTAAAGAAAGGTTGCTCGTTGCATATAAATTAAAACTTTTATTTATTCACCTCACGATCCCTTCACAGCTGCTGCCAAGAGAATCGCCGAAGAAGTGTTGGCCAACAGACTCGCAAATGTGAGCTACGATCCGAAGTTTTGTCGGGATTTAACGCTGCAAATCTCGGAAGAAGTAAAATCTCAAGTCAAACTGCTCGGCTTCGATCGATACAAGATCGTGTGTGTGACGCACATCGGTTCGAAGATGGGTCAGGCAATTCGGATTGGAAGTTTGTGCTGTTGGGACGAAAAAGCCGACAACTTTGTGGAATGTAGCTTTATTAACAACTCTCTGTTTGCTGTGGTCTTAATATTTGGTGTATATCAAGAATGAATGAGCATATCACAATGTCTGTGACAACATCTGCGGTACAGTAATTTGACGTTTTAAAAGCTTAAAGTTAGCTATCACAAGCAGTCAGTTTTATTCCTATTCTGGGAGTTGGTGTCATCCTGTTTTCTATGAAGAATATGTAATTCTTCGACAGAATTAAACATGGCCAAAATGTGTGTGAAGCGTCTTGAATTCGATAAATTTTTTCCCAGACAACGATTAGTTATTCAAACATGCCTTTTGCATTTTTAAGCCTTTATTTGTTACTAACCAACTTCCACTTTTTTCACTTACAAATAAAGAGAGCAAAAACTTGAGTTGGTGCGGTTGCTGGAAACGGGGAAGTGAGTGGCAAGGTTTTCAATTACTTCTCTTGGATCTAGTCAATTCAGTTCCTTGGTCTCCCATTTTCGCTCAAAGGGGCGGAAAAGATGAGAGAGCCTGAGAACGAAATTGCGAACGTTTATAATCTCTTGAACCTAGTCAATGCAGTTTATCTACAGGGTATCATATATTAACAAGACTGTTGCTGGGTGGTTTATCATCACTCTGCTGTGTTTCCTTTTCACCACTTAAAACGATCAGGAAGATTATTTAGCCATTCCTGTTCTTCTGGGGTGTTTTCCCTGCCAAGAACTTTGTTGCGTTGCGGAAAACGGCCAAACAGATCCACTACCTCCTGAATACAAAAGAAAGAAAGAATAGATTAATTGAAATTCTGGCATTTTTCTCAGTTCCTTGCCCGCTTTGTTGAAAGCATCCATAAGGTTAGGGAATACAGTTTGGCTTTCGCGGAATTGGGAACGTGTTCAATTGTGATCGCTAACAAGTGACGGATTTAGGGGAGGGGCCCAGGGGGTCCGTCCCCTTACTTATTTTGGGTAATAAATAAATAAACGCAGAAGGAAGAAAAGCCGACAGGTTTACACACAAAAAACACCGCCCCACCCCCCTCTCCCAGCTCAAGGTCCGGATCCGCCACAACTAGCTAACGCACGCACTGTACGAACAAATTCAAACCATCACTTAGCAGGTAAGCCCTCTCTCTCTCTCCCTCTCTTTCTCCCATTTTTTTAAATTCTGTTCTTGCTATTTGATAGTCTACATCCCCGTCGATTGCACGTTATTGAAAATTGGTCTGCAGCTTTGCTTCCTCCGCCGCAAAAATAATTGTCCACTCCCACCGGTAAACCACTTTTCTCACCTTGTGAGAACAGGCAAATTTGTACCAAGCGTTTCCACTTGACTCATCTTCCCCCCCTTTTCAGTCCTTCTCTAACTGAGCGAACAGCTGAACGTTGATTGCCTTCAACAAAAAAGAAAAGTGATTACGTCAAAATAAAGCCAGATTCTACCCGTGCATGCGCAGAAGTCAAGGTCTCGATATTTCAACTCCCAATTCCTCGGTTTTGAAGTGTTCGTGTATTCCAGAAACGTGGTGAACGGCACTTGCATTGACAGGCGAAAAGCGAATTGCACTGGGATTGAAGAGGAAAGGCAAGATTTTATGCGCATGGCCAGAAATCTCATTACCGCTGGCTCACCTGAGTCTCTCTGTTCTCGCTGTGTTCCAGTGGAAGGTAAATGAAAAGTCTCGCAGCAGCGCTGAACTTTAGATGGTCGTGTGTCCCCCGTTGTATAAACTTTTAAAACCAAGATATGAAGAGTGAGAAAAATAGTGTAAAAGGAGTCAAAATGCTGACTGTAAGGGAAGCGCAAAAAAAGAGGGAAAACTTTACCTTTTTGGCCAGTTCTTCACAATATGTATCCCTTGAGAAAGCAGTGGGACTACCCTGAAATAACCGAAAGAAACAATTTTGTAAAAAGATCTGTTCTTTTTTAATATAATTATGTGCTCCATGGTGTGCTTTAATTTGCCTGAAATTTTGTAAGCAGGCGGTATTTACCAGATTCAGCTAAGCTATCAATCTCCGATTTGGTCGTGCTTACAAATTTATCGGATTGTCCTCGACTTTCTACCTCTCCACTTCTTTTCTACCTAGTTAAATCGGGTTCACCTACTCAAAACATACACTCAGTTAAGGGGTAACTCGATTTCTCAGTTGTGATGGTAATGTTCAGTCATAAATCCTTCGCCTAGTCTGTTGTTGTTGTATTTGGCTGGTTGGTTTATCCATATTCATTCCTTCTTCCGTCGTTCGATTCATCGATTGTTCACGTGACCGTTAGGTTGGTGGGTCGATCGATTGGTCTCTTGCCTTGGTCGGTCGCGGTCGGTGCTAATCGGTCGGTCGGTCAGTCGATCGGTTGAGCGATCGATCGATTAGCCAATCAGATTAGACAACTAAACCCTTACGGTATGCAGTCACAAACCTTGAAGAGACTACGAAGGAACTGATCCTGAAGAATGATCAGCGCAAAAGTAGCTTTAGGATCATTTTCCCAGTGCTTTAGCTCATCATTTCTTGCTTTCTCTACCTGAGAGAAAAGTTTCAAAGAGAAGGCGTTTTCTTTTATCGCTGTAAACACTCTCGCCAAAGTAGCTTGAAAGAGAAGAGAGACTTTAGTCATCATCGTTATCGTAGGATTGAAACAAAAATAGAGTGGTATTTCATCTGAGTCAATTGCGCATCACTCCACTGACCCTTAAGTGAATAACGAGATGAGGTTTATTCCTGTTTGCCCCAGAAACAAATCTTTGTGGGAGCCAAAATCAGTCGAATAAAGTTTGTCTGTGGTTTAGAACACTCACGCTATCCTCAGTCTCAATCAGTCAGCAGATGTAAAAATAAAACCAATCATGAATTGATCACCCAAGCCCGTGTTTCGTTAAAACACGCCTTAACAAAGAGTTCTTTTTTGGCTCCATGAGATATTTTCTTTTGTGCTGAGTGGCTTTTGTTATTAGTTTGAATTTCACAACTCTTGATCGAAAACTATGGTTGCTTAACTTAATTACCAGAGGATGCATTAAAATGACGGAGATTTTTCCGCCGATCCGTTCCAAATGGAAAAAAAAAAAGAGTACCTCTGTGGGTACTTCACAACTTCCCAACAAGGTTTACGGAAAATTACTTTACCATTTGACCTCAAACCGTGTACCATCGATTAAATTAGGCTACTAGAAGTTTAATTGCATGAGATTTTTGACCCTATAACTCCCAAAATTTGATTGTTAACTCTCCCTTCTAGCTGCGACACATTTCCTTGTAAATAAGTTATGAGAATTAAGTATTACATCAACGTAACAACTTCTACCACATAAGTTTGAGTATTCTCATTATCTGTTTGCTGGATAATCTGTGGATATTATTGGGAGTGGTTACATGTCAATCACTTGTGGGAGTTAAAGGGTAAACTTACCAGCGGCCCGAACTTGTCTCTTATTTCCTTCGCTGCTTCTTCTCCCCCTCCGAACCATTTTGGCCGCTTGGAACGATCCCCTCCTCCAAACCAGTAGTTCAACACATCATTAGCTTCCTTGTATTGACTGTTATACATGGTCCGTTTCCTAATTAGAGGAAAAACAAACATCAAAACAGACCAGTATGCGTGAATAGCGTGACCACCCAAATCACGAAAATTCCTTGCGTGACATGACGCGCAACTGAATTTTAATCGTACAGACATCACGAAAAGAACTTTCGTCAGATTTAGATGTAAATCTCGCTCGAAGCAAGGGTTAGAAATTTAAGGAGCTTTTGAAGTTCGCCTTATGAAACGAAACATCATTTGTTGTTTAAAAGGACAGAAGAGTCAAAATAAAAAACGAGGCACCAAAAAAATCACAGCGATAGTTTGTACGAACGTTATTTACGGAAGTTTCAAGAAATTGGGGGCGCTGTCTAGAGAAAGGAAATAAATATTTAACATGTCGCTGAACAATTTTGTCTCCATGTTAGCCATGTTATTGCGAATTATTTTTCAGATGATTCAAATTATGATCTTTTGTAGAGTACATGTGCTCAGAATGAGAACTGATCATACTGAATAGAGGCACAAAATAGAGCGGAGCTCTCATAATTTATTCCATCAGGATTGAAGTACTTTCATTTGCATTTCTATTTAGTAGGTAACACCTTGTAAAACCACTAGAAGTTGAACAATCGTGTAGCTTTTATGGGCCTCCATTAATGAAAGAACCAAGGAAATAGTTGAAAAGGTCTTGGTGTTCGTGCATTCAACATAAACGGAGCTCTCCAAGGCATGTCAGAGCGGAAAAACAAACGCCGTCTCCGTGAATACAAAAAAATCCCAGCTGGTAGGCGCCGGTGGCTTTAGCATTTCATTTTTAGATTCACTAGCAGTGGAAAATTCCCAATCATATGTTCAAAGATTTTTCCAGGACCTTACCGTGTCTTAGAGGCCCTCACTTATCCTCAAAACCTTCTTCCACCGTGGAATACGAGATTTTTAGGAGCTCTTCTAGCCGGATTAGGAACGGTTGTCTTCTAATCGAGCGCGATACGTCCCTTGGGTGTCACGCAACTTTGTGACACACGCGACGAACAAGATGGCCACTATTCTTGTCACTACTAGAGCGGTGTATGCCAAGACTTTTAACCCAGTGAGGCTGAAAACATGGTAAGGTATCAAAGAAATGTCTGATACATCATCTGAGTTGTAATTTTTTAACAAAATTTCGCCCGTTGCTGAAGGTGTCCGCTTTGTCGCTTTGCATCTCATTAATAATACAGTAATGCCGAGTTCTGCTCACAAAAAACCCATCTGCACGTTCACATTACCTGTGCAACTAAATGATTTTTACTTTGTGGTAGATTAGTAAGTAATAATCACGCTTTCTGTCGATTTACGGGATGTTTGGAGAACACTCGGATATTATTCAATCATTGGCCTCCAGTTCGTGATTTACAAACTTTTCTTGTAGTCCAAGTGGACTATTACGCCGGTAAACCAGTTGAATGTGTGGTATATTGCTTTCATGAAATAAACTGTAAATAAAACAATTTTCTATGCGTTAACCATTGGATAAAATGTCAGGTTTTCTACTAATCAGTATCTTGATATAAGGGACCGGTCATTTCTTAGAGATGGGAGGGGGGGGGTGGGCTCTTGCATTTTAATTTTCCTATACATAGTTTCCTGTGGGCCTGTTCTTGCCACTGCAGATGATAATGTGGCCCCCCTTCAAGTCTGTACATGAATAATAATAATATTTAATCATAATAGTAATAATAGTAATAATAATAATAAGACATTCATAGAGTGCCCTTTCCCATGGGTCCAAAGCTGCTATTTACAAAGTCACAGTTCAAAAATAGTTTAAAATAATTAAAATTAGGTAAGATTATAAAACATCAAGATCATTTCATGAATTTATAAAGCACGTGTAAAAAGAGCAGTTTTAAGCCATCTTTTAAAAATGTCAAGTGATCCAGCATCCCTAACATGTCAAGGAAGAGTGTTCCAGAGAAGTGGTGGGACAACAGAAAAAGCACGATGGCCATAACTATCTGTGTGGAAGGCAGGGATGACAAGTAGATTCTTCATTGAAGACCTAAGGTTGAGTGTTGGTTGATAGTTTTTGAGAAGGGGACTTTAATTAATGTAAGTGCCTCCCGGTTAGCTCAATGGATAGAGTGCTGGACTGTTGTGCGGGAGGTCGAGGGTTTGAGCCCCGGCCGGACCAACACTCAGGGTCTTAAAATAATTGAGAAGAATTTGCTACCTTTCTATAACATCAAGAAATGGTTAGATATTCTAGTCTTCTCGGATAGGGACGAATAAATGGAGGTCCCGTCTCCTGCAGGGTTGGGGTAGGAGACGTTAATTTCCCACACACGAGATTACTGTGTGATGGATGTCCTCCCCTGGGGTGGGATGGGTGGGATATAGGGCGCACTTAATTTGGAGCCTCGCTCTGTTGTGCGACCCTCACCACACTCTGGTGAAAGTGATTAAATAAGTGGGAGCGAAACTATGAAGAGCCTTGTAGGTAATAGTAAGTATTTTAAATTCAATTTGGAGATCAATTGGAAGCCAATGGAGTTTTTTTGAGAACAGGTGTAATAATGGCAAAACTTTGGTGAAACAGTAACAACACAAGCAGCTGCATTCTGAACACGCTGAAGCTGTTTAATCAGATACTTAGGTAAACCATATAATAGCGAGTTGCATTGCAATCAAGTTTTGATGTGACTAGGGCATAAACAAGAAGCTGGGCTGCATCAGTGGTGAGATATCTACAAATGATACTAATTTTACGAAGATGATAGAATGCCGATTTGCAAATTGCAGTCACTTGAGGAGCCATATTTAGCAACTCAGTGAAATAAGATGACCCACCCTCAACCACACAAAAAATTTAATACAACTTAAAAAAAAACTCACCAAACTATTTAAAGCAAATACCGAAAATAAGAGAAAGGCACAGAAGAGAAAAGCTGGACAAGAAGAAGAGAATTTTGGTTTAATCTCCAAACTACTGTCTGGAGGTGAGATTCCAGTTAAGGAAGTCAATGTGGCTGCTCTAATATCCTAAAAAGGGACACAAGTTTACTGACTAAAGCAAATGATGGAAATAGAGCTTATGAGTGATAAAGCTTGTACACTAATTAAAGAGTACTTGCCCTCTATCAGCACTTCAAACAGTGTATCAGAGGACAATGATACTGGGTAATACTGAGTAATACATGAAGTTTTTTTTTCCAATGTGAAAGGACTGCTACATACCATGTTATGTTGGTTTGTTATGCCATCATTTTGATAATAAATCATATTTGACTTGTTGTTGATTCCTTCAGTGTTGTTTCTTTTTTTGTGGAATGGAAATTGGAATGCACAAAAATACATGGCCCCTCTGAAAGGGT